TTGGTAGTTTTAACGTCATCTCCTGGTCATTTAGGAGTTCTTTGATGTGATCAAATGTTTTTTGTGCCTCCTCCGTCCACCCGAATTTGGGGTTGCCCAGTAGCTTATATAAAGCTGTTGCTATCTCATTGAAATTTTTGAGGAACCGACTGTAGAATGCTGCTCTACCCAAGAATTGTCGCAGTTTCCTCTTGGAATTCAGCACTGGAATAGTTCTGACCGTCAGAATTTTCTCAGGTAGTGGTTTTATTTCGCCGTTTCCAACTTTGTGTCCTAGCAACGTAACACTCTTCTTTGCTACTTGAGATTTTGTTTATTGATGCGGAGTCCAAACTCATCGATACGTTTCAAAACAGCTTCAAGGTATTCTATGTGTTCTGCCTCCGTCTGGCTGTACACCACCAGGTCATCGCCGTACACCTCTACGTTCTCTAAATTCTCAGCAACATCAACAATCGTCTAAATGTAAAGGGCGCCCCTGCCAGACCAAATGGCATTCGCTTGAATTGGTAATGCTGTTTTCTCTTTATCACTGTCTTTTATTGGTAGCTGCCAGTAGCCCGAGTGGAGGTCCAGAACTGTAAATACTTTCTCATTCTGCAAACGATCCAGTGTCTCAGCTATCGTCGGTATGGCACATGGCTTCAGCTGCGTTATGCTATTTAACTCCCGGAAGTCCACGCAGAATCTATATTTCCCATTTGACTTTCTTACTAAAAGTACTGGAGAACTGTATGGACTGTCAGCCTCTTCAATAATACCTTCATCTAGCATTTCTTGAATCTGGTGCCCAACTTCTTGTTCCAAGTGACATGGTATTCGCCGTGTGATGAATGTTGTCGTTACCTGACTAGTCACTGGGATTTCATGCTGAACCTTGTCACAGTAACCATAGAGGTCTCCATCTCCTGTGAACAATCTGTCGTATTTCTTAACCACCTTCATGATGTTTGGCGTTTCTGGGTACGGTGATTTTGGTACTTCAATCTCTGCTACCTCGCTGTTTTCCTGAGTGTTGAACGACCCGTACTTCGTTGCCACTATTCCTGTTCTCGTTTAATCACTGCACCCACTTCTCTCAGAAAATCGGCACCTAGGATTGGGCGTTGTAGGCGAGCGGTCACAATAAATGGGAATCTAATTTTCTGGCTCCTGATCTCAACAACGCAATCTGACAAGCCCGCAATATCCAGTACATGTCCCCCAACCGTATGGACCGTTAGCGCACATGGTCTTGTGTTCTGAGACTGCCTCTTATCTATTAGAGAGACTGCCGCCCCTGTATCTATGAAACACGATATCCCGACCATTTATTCTCAATCTAGCATACACCGCCCTCGATCTATGGCTACTACGATATCAAGTCTAGTCGAAAAAACGAACTCATATTATATCTTTCAAAACGTTTTCTTTTCCGCCTCTCTGGACAATTCCTTCGCCAGTGTCCCGGTTTCCCGCATGCGAAGCATTAAATCTGTTTGTTGACGCTCATTCGGAGTGCTGCTGTCTCTTTCTGAAGGTTGTTGATTTGTTCTTGCCAGTTATTTACCTCTCGTGACTCCACTGCCGCTATTCCTGTACCCATTAGCTGTCTGGTCACCTTGGCAATTTCGCTAATGTCCATGGGCTGGGATGTATTGACTAGTCCTAACTAGTGGGCAATGGCATTCGGGACACTCTCAGTGAACTGTGCGGTCATCAGCTGTTGTTGGGTGTCCTCATCCAACGTGGGAAGCGCTCGTCGAAGTAGTTTGGTCAACTTCACACCCAACACCAGCGGATCTTCGTCTAATCCCAGCTTTGCGCTGCGGAACTGCTGCATCGCCTGCTCCCTGTCCGCCGAGCAGTCGAACTTCGCCTCCAGGCACTGAACCATTCTCCGCCTAGTCTCCTTCCCGTCACCACGTTCCACTCCGTCATATGCTACTTTCGCTCTGCCCCGCAGCAATGTTCCCAGCACCACGACCTTCACCTCCGGATCCTCAAATCCCCATCAGCACCGCGACCGCCTCCAAGTCCCTGAGGAAGTCCTTGATATCTCCATCCTCGAAATCTGTAGACTATGGGATCTTCATCATGTACAAAGACAGCGACACCAATTGACAAGACAGAAGATAACTAGAATACAGAATTTTATCGAGAACAATTGGAATGGTACTGGTTACATATAGTACACCTTGCACTAACTCAGCCATTTGCAAATGTCTTCGTTTCTCCTCCATTCCTGTCTTGCTTTGCTCTTGACCTGCTCTTCATACACTCTTATCAGCAGCATCCCCTGTAATACGCCTGTGTTGTCCCCTGCGTTGCTCTTGGCAGAAACCTTACCCATTGCCGGTAATTCCCTATGATTCCTGCCACCATCTCTATATATACACTACTTATATCCGTTGTTATCAACAACGCCCACTACACCACATCTAATTTTGAGGAAAGTTAAATTCAACAGGAAATAGTGAAAAAAGCATTCACTTCATGATGCTGACAGTTACAATAACTCCAGCTACGAAATCTCTCATTTGTGTTGTTGTTAGTATTCTGTACATTGTATTGCAAACACGCCAGTGTACTATAGTTGAATACCTTAGGCCAATATAACTTAAGTTAGTTCAAAACGCTTTTGTGAATGTTGGTAACCAAATAGGGCTCGCTGTAGCAGGTTAAAAATGGTCCACCAAAGTTAGACGAAGATATGCTGCTAACTCATTGAACTACTGACTGTTATCTTCAGTCTAGTATCAATTTGTAGAGAGATATAGAGAAGTGGCAATTAGTTGTAAATGCTGAACAAAATAAGTGGCTTCGCATGTACTGTGCATATCTAGATAGCAACTGCTTCGACGTGCCATGTTAGCAGAAGTTGGAGTAAGTTGGAATAGGGCCTAGAGTGTTCAAACTAAAACGTCCTACCAATCCATGAAGTCTCTGAATGTTGTCCTAAGTGACACAGGGAGGCGCAGACTACATCTTTAGGATCCCCGAGACGATATGAATAAGTGGTTTAGGATCCTTGCTGAAATGGATGAAAATCAGTCACATTGGCACAGATGTATTCACTCTTTGACGTATTCTACAGCTGGAAAATCCTTACTAAACTTAGTGTTCAAATTCCCTCTACTCTTATATTACCTTCGTTTATATGTCTTTCCCCACCAATTTGTTCTTTGAATGCTCCTGAAGTGAAGTGTGTCAACTTGAAGTAATCCACTTGTATGTGAGGTTCTACGTTGGTTTTCCGTCTGTCTTCAAATACACACCCTCAGTGAATGAACCTGTTCTGGTCGCTGTCAATCATGTGAATGAAGTAAATCATGTAATGTAATGTAATACTTTGCAAATTAAATCTCAACTTTGAAACTAGGAAATTAGTTCATTCAGTTAAGTGTCTCTTTAGATCAAAGCATCTACCGAGTATTTAGCCTCTAACTCAAAACAGTATTGCAATGAGAATGTGAAAACACTGTCCCAATTACGTGACCAATAATCAAACCTGACTAATTTAAAACTCTATACTCAGTTATTCACTCTATCATTGTTTTGATTACACATGAAACGTACTTACGTGTTGTTCTTAGAGTTCTTTCAGTTGCTACAATCAGTTGACCATCACTGTTGAAAGTACTAGCCTATCTACAGCGTTTCGAGTCACACAACAGTTGTTTCCCAGAAGATGTTCTTCAGTATAATAGTTAATCTAACTTATCCGAAGCCCCAATGTTTAATCTTGGCTTGGATAAATCTTACGTAAACCGTTCAGTAGGATAAAATATTGTTGATTGAATTCCTTGTGTGACTTCCTCTTGTCTCTTCAAACTGCAGTTATTTCGTTACCCTCCCCCTTTCAGTTTTCAAAACCTAACTTTATTCTTTTATGTTGAGCATTCCCTGATGTCTCTCGTTAGCTGTACCAAATTCATTTTGTAGTATAGCCGAAATATAGTGCAAACCTACTACGAGTGACTTTAAAGGTCACCCTACGAACGAACGAAATAACCAATCAGGTCTCTCCATTTTGGCTAGAAAGGCAGATTTTCACAAAGTAGACAGTAGTCTGATTCGTTATTACAGTTATTGCTATGGTTGCCGTTATAGTCACTCATATACTACAGGTGGGCTTTTTTCACTGTACGCCACAGACACATGTACTTTTAAAAGAATCCTACTGTCATGTAAAATCGACACTAATCTAAGTGACACATTTCGACTGTTGTGATCTTGAACTCGATGTAGTGTAAAATGAGATGAATCATCCACTATGTGATCAACTAGTACCAAACGGGATGAGAAGGCTAATGAGCCTAGAGTGTGAACTACGTCGTGTTATACATGGATAACACCTAAACAAAAGTTTGAGGACATCTAGTTAAAATGGTGGGAATGACGAACAGGTGAGTGAACGATGACCTAGATAATAGACATGCATTATATGCCTCAGTCAATTCTTCAGAGTAGACACCATTTAACGCAGTAAGGCAATTAACACACCGCAATCATGTGTGCAACAAGCCAAAACATGAAATTGTCTGGGTGGATAGATCTGGGCTTCAATATCTTATGAACTGGTACTGGTACTAGCCTTTTGAAATGAATCAACGAAGAAAAAGACAAATCAAGTTTATTGTTTTAAAAATCGTCTGAGTGTATGTTTTAATATATATACATATATACATATGTGTATATCGGATAGCAAATTTATTTCGTGGTCATTTGCGGAACACTTCTATTTTGAATCAAACTTCCATTCTTGATATGCATCTAAAGTATGTGTCAGCACCTAAAGATTTACATGCATTGTCTGCTTGAACCCAAATCACCACCAATATCGTTGTCAATAATAGTAGCGGTAATGACGGTAATAATAACAGGAATAATAATAATGGTACGATCAACAACAAGAACAACAATACGAATAGTAAACGTTCCCTCTTTGAATAGACACCGGTAAACAGAAAAATCATCTTGGGACAATTGTTTGATAGTTCTTGAAAGTTTGTTTGCTTTCAAGCACTATCAAACAATTGTTCCAAGATGCTTTTTCTGTTTACCGGTGTCTTTTCAAACGAGGAATGTTTATTATTCGTATTGTTGTCGTTGTTGTTGTTGTTCGTACCATTATTATTATTATTATTGCTGTTATTATTACCATTATTACTGCTACCATTATTGACAACGATATTGGCGGTGATTTGTGTTGAAGCAGACAATGTATGTAAATCTTTAAGTGCTGACAAATACTTTAGATGCATATCAAGAATGAAAGTTTGATTCAAAATAGAAGTGCTGCGCAAATGACCACAAAATAAATTTGCTATCCGATAAGGGCACATAACTTGTAGACCTTTAAGTCCACTGGCTAAGCAGGCTAAATCAAAGGTGACAGTAGGTGGAACATTGTCTCGAGATAGAATAGGCACCTGAGTTCCATCTTTTAGTAGATTAGCAACAGCATTTGACTGATCATTTCTATTGGTATCCATACACCTTGAAGCACGAATTACATTTAAACCCAGTGTAGGTAGAGTATCGGGCTCATCAACTGTTTGAGAAAATAAGAAATGACAGAAATGACAGTAATTGATTAACAACTGATATTAGTTAGAGAACTAATCACATAAAAAGCCGATGAATGGTTATCTCATTCTAATTCCTGATACTTCAGCACTACAGACCTTTTCATGCTTAATTACAGAAAGGAACCTGTGATTTAGGTGTTAAAGTATGCTGATATCAATAAATTGCAAACAAATGGTTAAAATTTTTCCAAATCTCCCTAACTAATGATCAATGGTAAACAATAAAAAAACACATCGTACTTGTACTTGTTGTTGTGCTTGTAAACGATTGTACTGTATTTCTGTCCAATGTAAAGTGCACACTAGACCAAACTGAATGAAATCAAAAGACTGAACTACTAACACCCGTGAAATATAAGATGATGACTCATCACCGGTTTGCACTGATTTAGTAAAGTGGTGGAATCCAGTGTCCACTTCATTTACTTCAGGGTTGCTGACAAAATCTCAGCTTTGATACAAAAAGGCCCATCCACCATTTACCACCACCTTATCCCGATTACGATGTCAACGGGATATGCAACCACCTATTAATTGATGATTATACTGTAGGATAGTCAGTCGTCTGTCCTATTATATACTACTGTAAGACATGACTACTAACGTTTCAAAACACTATCCAGTAAATAATACTGCAACACTATATTCACTATCAAATGGCATTCAATATGGCATTAGACTCCACCAAAGTGTTCAAATCCTACCCTTATACTAAGATTATAGAGGTTACGGTTTAACTTATCGAATTTCTCGCATACAACGGGATAACCAGGTGACCAGTGTTGAGTTTCGATGCAGAGTACTAGGTAAGGAAGGCAAGTCAATCGATGAGATTGTGAATCTTCAGTGAAATGTCCTCCGCACACCATGGTGGTTTGTCTATCTCGATATCTGATAGTAGTTGAATTAAGACTAGATAAAAGAAAACCACATATGGTCAAAAAAGGACTGGGACCAATGCATGAATTCATTATTCTAACCAAGTAGGAGAGTGCAAGCTGTCTGGTTACGATCTTGATGACGATAGGAATCAATCATCGGAGATTATTGATGACTTAGCTCAAAGTCAACCACAATGGTATAGAGGAATAACTTTGAAACGTTAAACATCTTCGAAAATCCTCGTCTATTTTCACTCACTTCTCCAATTGACTACTTTCAACTTCGAAGTCATATCTTTTCTTTGCATTGGTGTTGGAAGTGTAGAAACTTTGACTGAAGTACTTAATGGTTGTGTGACCTGTCTATTATTCTCAGTATTATTCAGTCTTGACAAACTTATAGAATTGCATAGTGAACCTCACTGAACTGCTATTCACATGAGCTGTGTTCTACTTTGTAAGTGATGAAGCCAGTTCAATACAAATAACTCAATAAAGACTTTAAAAACCTAATTTTTAGTAGATTTCATTCACTAAGATAATGGAGAGAAAAAATCCACTTCAAAATTTCGGACTTTGAGTACTTGGTTGATTAAACCACAATTCTTATAAGCTATTAGGAAAGAATTTCTAGTCAGCACTATGTAGACATTAAGGAAGCTTTGGACGATACTGTTTCACCAAACACAATGCTCAAGATTGATATTCGTCGTTTAGTGTACGACTTTAAAATTGATGAATGAACTAAATTTTACAATTAAAAAAAGTAAACAACAACAGAGATTCGTCATATGTATACAAAAACATACCCGTTAACAGAATCACATGTCGTAGTAGATAAAATTCTTGTGCACTTAGACCAGCTTGACGTATTTCTGATAAGGACTGAAGGAGTTCATTAGCAAATTTTCGATCAGGTCGCCTATTTCTTGTTACTCCACATTTTTGAATATCTGGAAGTAAAGACCATGGAATTTCAAGTTGAATAGGATTCTGGTACTTTTTATCCTCTTCATATTGTGACTTGTCTTCAACGACAACAACATCCAGAGAATGTTCAACCATACTTAACGCTAACAATTTTTGCCAACACTGTCCAAGTAAAGATAACCAAGGTAAACTATCATTTTTCTTATTTAAACAATGTACTTGTTTAGATAAACCATTTAAAGTCCATAATTTAGGTTTCAAAGTTGAAACAAGAGGGGTGGAAAGAGCTACAAACTCAGTGATTTGTCGTAACCACTCGGTAATTCGTGCTTGCACCGGACGAGCAGTTTTCTTAGCTAACTGTACATAAGGACAATTTCCATTTTGTTTATCAAAAACACCGGGTATAGTAGAAGGTAAAGAAAATGAAGTAATACTTGGTGACAAAACCATAGAATAACCAGTGAGATCAATCGGCTCTTCAGAACCAGAATCATTTGACAGAGATGACGTTTGAGGAGATTGTTGTAGGCCGATTGAACCAAACCCTGAGATTTGTGGAGTAGTTAGATCAGAAGAAACATCCATGATTCTAGCTTGAGCAGACAAACTTTGCTGATGAACTCGAGGACTAGATATACCGGACGAGGAAACACTAGACCTTTGAGGTAGAATAGCACTTAAACTTTGTGAACGAGTGTCAATATGCGAGCTATTCATTGCATTTTCATGTGACTTTGAAAGTGCTCGATGATACAATGTGCCTTTTGGTTTTGAAAAGATTGAATCAGATATTGCTCCTTCCAAATGACGACGATGTTGTACACGAGCCTTAAGATTAGGATAAAAATCGGAAGCTGCACCAACAGATGAAGCATGTGGTCGGGTATATGGTCGGCTATTGGGAAGTTTACATCCAAAAGAGTTTGCTCGATGACGTAAATTACAATACACTGTAGAGTTTTTAACCGAAACACAATGATTACTTGTATTCATATGATGAGGAGTTACGAAAGAAGAGGATAACACTGGAGAATTTGATAGTGGACTGTCTATTCTCAAATCACTTGATTTCTCATTATTTTCCACAAGTGATTGACCGGGAGAAGTAGAAAGTGAATTTTTCGAGGTTACTGAATTTTGTGAAGAGTTTTCTTTAGAAATGAGCAAATTATATAATAATCCTTGATGAACCTGCTTAGAAGGATGATTATCAATAAATTGTACCGGGTTTGAAGAAGCAGGTGGATAAGGACTAGTCCTAGAAGAATTTATACATTGTGCAGATGTTGTAGTAAAAGATGCAGGACTATGTATAGATGAATCAACTGAGGAATTTAAACATATTCGAGATAACTTTTCACTTCCTTCAAGCACCGGTTGACTGGTAAGAGTAGCATCGGTTGGTTGAGGTGAAGATAATAACCTATCACTTTCTGGAGATAATCTCTCCTCAAACTTATGAATTCTTTGCTCACATTCAACAGTTTCTTTTCTATACGCATTGGATAATGCTAAATGAGATTCTTCACTTGTCACAAGAGCCTCTGCGATCCTGTAGACAAAAGTGAATCAACACAAATTTATCATATTGATTTTCAAATTCAATAAGTAAGATAATATACTGAAATGAAAAATGAATTATGTTTTGTTAAAACTCATCTCACAGCACGTATAATGTCTATATAAAAATCAGTATTATTCTTTTTGAAACTTCATTGTTTATCAGGATATGCTATGGTATAATTACTAAGTCAATAATCAACTATGACTAGAAATGAATACATGTCGTTGATGACACTGTTGGCCGTCATCAACACAACTCTGAAGGACACTCTACCAACCACTGAAATAACTGATTAAACTATCTACTTGTGAAAAAACTGACTGAATTCAAAGGTCATCCTAACAGCTGATCAGATGACCAGTTGAGTGGCCACGCCCTAGTAACGACTATAACAACCAATTAAATTATTTTATTTAGTCTAGAAAAGTAGCCTTTTTCTCCTAAAATGTAGAACTCTCACTGATTACTACTGTAGTTGTTAGAGTGATCTTTCAAGTCAATCCAAGCTACGAAGTTTGACAAGTCAACATTGTACACGTTCGTGCAGTAGGTAATGAGGTACACTCATTGTTTCAGGGCTAATGATACTATCTGACAGCCCAAACTTCGGTATGTGGAACCAACCTCAAATCTGTCTGATAACATTATAAAGCTTTTTGCGGTGAACTTGATTACTAGTATTACTTTAAGAGCTACTGCTGAGATAACTATTTATGTTTATTTTGTGAAAAAAACACCATCCTAGAAAAAGTACCGAAGTTTGACTAGTTATTTCAACGGTTTCTAGGGTGACCTTCAAACTAATTCGTTTACAAATGAATGAATGAGAAGTGGCCTCTAATTGTTTATTTTAGCCGTTGCTAGGTGAACTTAAAGTCACTCAAAATCAGTGGGTCATATTTGTACGTTCAAGTCACTTCCAACTTAATAAAAAAATCCATGAGATAAATGTTTATGTCATACTAATCTTATTAGTTGGTTATGTATAGTGTGCCAGTAACTAGCTTGTACTCTTATGAACAGCTGTGCAAGTTGGTGCATTCCAGATAGAATTCTCTGAATTCCCTGTGCATACATGTCAGTGATATATTTATCTGAGTTTTGGAATATAGTGTCAATACACAACTACAAGTTTTTTTTGCTGGGGGTCCCGATTTATCACATCTACTAGGTACTAGGTGCGAAAACTTATTCACAATCCGTTTTAGAAATAGGACGCTTTCACATTTTATGCATAATGTAAATGTGTACAAACTGAGTTGTTGTTGTTGGTGGTGGTGGTGGTGATATATATTAACAATCATTTACATTCAATATAGTACTAGAAGTAAGGCAGGTTGCTTCCTTCTTTCAACTCAACTGAATGTACCTGCTTCCCAGGGAGTAATATCGTTCCTACTTAGACTTGAATCCAGATCACACTGTTTCAAGCATCAAATCGTTATTCATTAGGTGTCTGAGACACGATAACTATGATTAGTGCAACAGTACAGACATATTAACAGTTTGAACGATGATTAATATGCTACCAAACAGTATTTCAACACTTCAGCTGGTACTGAATTCTATCAGTTATAGATAATGAAGTAACGCACCTGATTTCGAAGCAATAAAACCATAGGGAGGTTTGTATCACTGAAGTTAAATGAGGAGAAATGATTTAACCAATGGGATCTATATTACATTATTATTTATTTTGAGGGAAATGAAGTGGAAGAATATTGTTCTTAAAGTTGTTTACGAGCGTTAAATACCGTGGCCACAAAGATCTTAGGGGCATTGAGTGCTGATAAGTTAACTCGTTTTTTGGAAACCTGTTAAGTGATAAGGCTCAGAGTCGACCTTAGAAGAATGGACACATCCACAAGTTACCTTCATCGCAATTGTCACATCAAATTTCGTTAATGTTTTATTAGCTCTTCCTCACCTTTTTAAGACGACTTACTGGGATTTAAAATTTCCCTATTAGTTTCTATTTCCTAATCTTTCTTCTTTCCACCTATAACAAACACTGTGCTGAAATCAGTTAGAGCAGCCTGGACTAATGTAGCATATATGTCCTCTTCTGTTTGTTGATATACTTAACATATAAATTGTGCTACCAGATTCCATACCAAGAGACGACTTTAAAGGCCACCGGGGCAATAACTGAAAACAATTAGACTTCTCTATTTCATGAAAATCTGTCTTTCCTGCCGAAATGGAGAAACCTAATTGGTTATTTCGATTGTCGCTGTGGTCGCCTTTAAAGTTGCCCTTCGAAGAGGCTCGAACATGACACAACCACTACAAAGGACAAGCCTAATGTTATGTTGATTGACTAATGGCCGTAAAGATACGTTGGATAGCTGTCACCTTCAAAAAGGCACTCGAAATATAATCAACTTCTGGTTTTGTATTTTTATTGGTTAGAGATGGGATCGACATTTTAACTCAGTACGTGTTTATGCACACAACTGTACACCACACTTATTATCGGAGGTGTTTTTGTACTATGTTTATATCAAACGAGGCAGGGCTGAAAGTTATTGATTCAAATTGACGTACTCAAGCCAGTAAACCACACACATAGATTTAGTAATGAAAAAATTTCATACTTTACTTGCATAGTAGAGAAGATAGAGGTCATGAAGATAGATACCCAACCAACAACAACAACAAGCTCCAATCAGCATCAATGGAAGAAACTTCAATGAAGTAGCCTCTTTCACCTATCTAGGCAGCACTGTCTCAACTACAGGTGGCTGTGGCACAGACGAGGACGTCAAAGCAGCCAGGATCGGAAAGACAGCAAGACAGGCCTTCTTGCATTAACCTGAAACCAGTGTGGAGATCTTCTGCACTCAGCGTGTGGAACAAGATTCGGATTTTCAACACCAATTCAGTCAAGTGAGTCAGTGCTTCTATGTGATGGTTGAGAGACTTGGCGCGTTACGAAAGGGATTTCCAACGGACTATAGATATTCATCAACAACTGCCACCTACGCTGGGTGGTTACTGAAGGTCAGATGGATTACCAGAATAGTGAGAATAAGCAACAAGGAACTTACTCTGGCTGGCTGGCAAGGAACCAACCAACAACCTATCACCCAACAATATGCAGAAGGAGGGAGTGGAGATGGATTGGACTGGACGTACATTGAGAAGGTTGTTTGGGTACATCTCCGAACAGGCGAAGCCATCGAGTGGAACACAAAGAGGAAACGACGAGCTGGGCGTCCGAGGTGAGGGTGACATGGAGAAGATGGTGTGAGGAAGAAATGAGAGGTTGTGGACTGTCGTGGAGACAGGTTGAAAAGGTTGGAGAGAAGAGAGTGCACTGGAGACGTGCTACTGAAGCTGTATGTTCGACTAGGAACCCAAGGGACAAATAATAATAACACTTGCATAGTATACTGTTTCAGAGAACAGCTGCAACTGACAATATCGACAGTACACAATAACAGCATTCCTCAATGTCCAGATGTATCCATAAGAAGCAACAAGTTACATGAAACTGACATGTACAAAGAGAGATTTTCAAGGAAAGGTAAGATTCACAAGTCAATAAGCATAACTCTAGCATTAGATTACGAGAATGAAGCTCCTACTCAAGCTATTATAGTTTATACAACTAACTAGATAATATTAGTCCGGTATTATGGAATTGTGAGCCTGATTGACCAGCACATGATATGATATGATCATTAAGGGCAATAGTGAACACAATCATATTTTATAAGATTGAAGTACACAGACGAACAAGTAAGACAAAGTGTTTTGTAATCAATTAATTCAATTCACGAAATGAACACTTATAAATTTGTCTTATATTCAATCAAGGACACTGAGCACCTTATCAACCTTATTCACTTGTTATGTTCAATTGAAGTCAATAATATTTCAATCATAAACAAAATTGATAACTTATAAAATAAGGGTGATGTAATAGTGAGTAGAAATCGACAAAATATGATATTGTCACAGTACAGCAAATACAAAGAAAGTAACTTGATGGTGTACAAGTTGCACTCATCTATATATTGCCAATCAGCTTGAAAAAGTATGTAGAATATATTTTTTTGTTTCAACCTGAATAACCAGTATTTTGCAGTATGTTCAATGTTGAAATATACTACTGAACTCGAGTAGTTAGAAAATGTGCAGGCTGATTTACAAACCACTAGCAAATTGATCATCCTATCTAAGGTATACCACCCCAGTGCAAGTCAGTTAGCCAGGCATCTGAATTGGTTGTGCCCTATGAGCTGAATTCGTCCGGGAAAACGGTTGATGAGCTCAACACCAAGCGAGTGAAACAGCTATTCGGTGTTAACCTGACTGGTAAAATCTACAGATCAGCATGAATGGTGTACAACTATGCAAGTTTTTCAGTAGTAGTATCTTCCGTTAGCTCATGACATCTTTGCATCAGAGATCCCACCTTGACATCTTGGCTGGGCACTTTCAATGGAAACCTTGTTGAGACTATAGTCAAACAGTTAAAGGATGTTAATAAAGACCGTGAAATTTGTAAGTCATTTGCAAATAGATCATCCTATGTTCGATGTTGGTTGGTTTAAAGGAATCAGTAGAAAGATTTGAGCACAAGCTAGGCAGTTGTTGACACATGATCCCAATACATACGTTTAGTATCACAGGCAAAAACACCACTGGTTTTGTGCACATTTCATTCTGAAGTGATTTGCTCGTAGACCACACAGCTTAAACGTTTCTGGGTATAGCAGATTATTTCTCAAAGAAAATGTGATTACTCCCTGAGACTGCATAGATACTAAGCCAGTTGATGATTTTCACTAATGATAAACTCGAGAAACTCAACATAAAAACTTAAAAGTGAAACATAACAGACTATCATTTACAATTTGGAATAGAGTGTCTGCACTTTCATGAGAGCCATTCACCACCATTGTGGATACTTTTTTCAAAGATTACTTTCAAATAAATCGATAACATTATACAAAATGATAACAGAGGGGGGGGATACT